CTCCGGCGCGCGGCAGTGGGCCGGCCCGGCCCCGGGGCCCTCCGTGCAGCCGGCCGCGGAGCCGGGGCAAGGCCCGGGGGTGGGGGGAAAGGGGGCCTCCTCCTCCTCCCCCTCCTCCTCCTCCCCCCCTGCAGCCGCGACCCCTGCGCCCGGTCCCCGGTGCCAGGGCGGGAGCAGGGGGTGCGGGTGGCCCCCCAAGCCCGCTCGCCCGCCCCCGCGGGGAAGCCCCGCCGCGCTGTCCGGACTGAGGGGCACGCGTGGGAGCCACGGTGCCGGCAGGCAGAAGAAGAAGAAGAAGAAGAAGAAGTTTCCACTCGTTTCACGAGGTGCATAGTGCGGGCTGTGATGCTAAGAACGACAACAACAGTAATCATCATTATTATCATCATTATTATCATCATTATTGTTGTTGTTGTTGCTATTATTCTTATTCTTATTAGGAAGAAGAAGTTTCCACGCTTGTTTCACGTGGTTGATGGTGCGGGATATCAATCTAAGAGCTGTGATACCCGCCGTGACTCGAGCGAGAAGGACAGGAAGGAAGAAGAAGACGAATAAGAAGATTTCACTCGTTTCATGTGGTTGAGACAGTGCGGGAGAGGAATCTAATAACTACAACAAGGAGAACAGCAACGATGCTGCTGGTGATGAAGAGGAAAAAGGCGATCCCTCTTCTTGCCTGGCGCGGTTGGCAGTGCGGGGTACGAAGCTAAAACCTGCAATAGCTGTAAGGACTAGCACTGTAGTGATGAGGAAGGAGAAAAGAAGGAGAAGATTTCACTTGTTTCACGTGGCTGATAATGCGGGATGTGAATATTATAACAACTATAATAACTACAACCGTAATGATGCTGAAGAAGAAGAAGAAGAAGACGACACTTCTTGTTTCTCGTGGTCGATAGTGCGGGATATAGATCTGAGAGCAGTAATCACTGACACTCTAGTGATGCCGATGAAGGAGAAGAAGTTCCCACGGGGCTGACTCCAGTGACCCCGACCCCGACAGCAGGCGCGGGGATCCAAGGACCCGGGGATGCGGGATGCAGCGGGCAGGACCGGACCCCGCAGCTCCCTTGTGCGGAGCTCGCTCCGCTCCCCTTCGCCGAGCTCCCGGGCGGAGCGGCCAGGACCGCACCGGCTGCAGCCG